CAGCGCATCCAATAACTCTCCTACTAGTGGGATGCCTTCAGGTAACAGCACATGATTTGATCCCAGGCATTTCTATTGTTATAGCACTGCTGAAAGAGCGCGTATCCAAAGAAACTTAGCCAACACCCTCTCCCTCATTATATATATATTTATTCCAACAGCTTACAAAACCAAAACACTTATGTGTTTTCTAAAAGTGCTTAGAGAAGGAGGCCTGTCCTGCTAAATCTCTTCTGCTTGTGAATCAGGCTGACAACCCGCAGATTTTGTTTCTTGCTGTGAATAGGTGAGAAAGACTGGGCTGATCTTCCAATGCAGATAAGAGATTTCCTTCAGGGGGTGTAAGAAGAGTGGCAGAAGGGTTTTATTTTCATTCCTCGAGCGATTATTATCAGCTCCTTAGCAGCACGACCATTGGATTGCACAGTATGCTTGGTGAGGAAAGCCTTTTGCCCCAGGATCATTTCCTTTCATTTCTCGGGCCAGCGCAAAGCTAATAAAGAAGCTAAAGACCTATTCAGCTGAGAGAGCCGAGCACTTGTGTTCCAGCGTTTGGTGTTCCAGGTCAGATAGTGACAAGTGGGCAAACCCTACAGTGGAATTAGGTTGATTATTATTTATCCTTGTCTCCACGTCGCGGGGTGGGTGGGGTGCTCTTCTCCCCCGGCTGACAGCAGCGGAGCCGCGCTGCCGCCCTCTCCCGGCTCCGAGCGCTGCAAAGCCTGCCAGGAGCTCCGCATTCCCAGCACAGCCAGCCGCCGCCTGACAGACAAACAACGGGGACATAAAACCAGGGAAAGCAAACAAACAAACAAGCACCAAGGAGAACATGGGAAAAAAATTACAAAAAACGTCGGGGGGAAAGGAAAAAGGCAGGAAAAGGTGGAAAAAAGAAATGGGGGAAAAGAAAAAATGGGGGGGAGGAGAGGAGAGGAGAGGAGAGGGATTGCTCTTGATCGAGTGGCCAAGCACTGGAACAAGATCTTAGGGAAGTGGTGATGGTCCCAAACCTGTTGCTGTTCAATAAGCACTTGTACAATGATCTTAGACACATAGTTTCGCTTTTAGGTTGTTCTGTGTGGAGTCAGGAGTTGTACTCAATGATCCTCATGGGTTCCTTCCAACTCAGAATATTATATGACAACAAATATTAGCACTAAGGCTCAATCCCACTTAGTTACCGTGCTTGCAGGACAGGATCTCAAAATACAATAGCAATATATTAGCAAATGCTAACATTTGATGAAATAAGGCAAATAGACTTTAGTTGTACCATATTTTTTCTCATGAGGGTTTTTCTAAAAGAGTATCAAAACACTGTATGAACTACCAGCGCTAAAACAGTATCTGTTCCAGCTACCAATTCTTGCTCCTGAGGCAGGGAACATTTTATGCCACACACAGTGTAAGGCAGCAATGTAAAAGACAGAGAGGGCGAGGGATACAGAAAACATTATCTCTATTTCAGAGCTCAGAAGAGAAACACAAAAAGACTAAAGGGAACACCCAAAGTCACTTGTGCACTGGACTGAGCTGGGAATATTGCATAAAAGCATAAGCACTTTGATCTGTTCCATCATGGCATTTCAAGAAAGCAGGAGAGGAGCCGAGGGCAGATGCCTCTGTGCTATTATTGACACAACATTTTTTCCATTTTTACTTGTAGGGCTTCTGGAGAAACAAAGACTTTCCTCCTCATGTCATAACTGCTTGGAGGTTCTCCTGACCTTTGTTTGCCCCTCCCATTTTTCCAGGTGATTAAGCTGTGCAGTCAGAAAGCATGACTATAATGCCAAGAAGCCAGCAATTTTAACACCACAAAAGGATAATTGTGTAATACTTAAGGCCATATTAGTTTCAGCACAGACTGACCCTCAGCTGGTGATGACAGAGCACCAACAGCTCCCAACACAATGACTGACAGAACTGGGACATGGCAAATTGCACTTTCAAAGCCTGCAGCAGAATAAGAGTTAGGGGACTCGCTTTGCATTAAAACAGGCTTGTACCATATTCTTAGAACAAGGGATAAAGTAGGACAGCACATGACTACTTCCCTTCCAAACCATTCCACTTGAAACATCTTTCATCCACCTCCCATTCTCCTTTGCAGGCTTGTGAAAGACAGTTTGCCCATACTACTAATGTAACATTGCCTGAATTCTTACACTATACACACATTTGTACTAAATTAAAGAGACTTTTTGCTACCTGCAAATGTCACATCAATTGGAAGAACAGCTTAGGTTGTGACATCTACCAGTGTGTGAGTAACCTCAACTCAGTGGTGCAATTGAGCCTGAGTATATTACTGATGAACTAGGGGTCTCAGTGTTGTACCTGTAAAGACTGAGCCATAACTGAGGCACTCAATTGTCCAATATTTTGACCCTCCCCCCAAAATATTTGCTCACATTTTCACTAATTGGGTGCTCTGTAACATTCCAAACCTGTATGGATGTGATGCTGCCTCAGTGTCAGCAATTGGGGCGCCACAGGTAAGATCCTGAATGGGAAACCAGAAGGTAACCAGAAGCAAACATAAAGGTGAAATCTAGGTTGTCCACTCTGGGCAGAGGAATCTGAGTTGCATTGCTCAGCTTCAGGATGTCTCCGCATTTTTGCCAGTTACTATCTAGCTTTAAATAAGACTTAAAAAATAGTTGATTCTTTTCCCACAGATCCCAGGAACTTTGCAATCTCTTCTCAGCTGTGGTGTGACTCCCCCTATCAACATTCTCCCTGCAGGATATCCTATGGTCAGAGGGAAGGAGCCCTTCCCTGGGAAGGGAACTTGAACCCATCCAGAGCAGGAACTGAAGGGAGCCCAACATCTCTTGCTTTCCAGGACTTAAGGTAAGCAACTCCTATTACAAAGACAGGCTTAAACAAAAATTACAACATTTAGGACAAACTCCTACTTTCAAGAGATGACTTACCTACCAAAGTGATTAGAAAATTCCCTCCTCTGGTCTTGAGCAAGCCACTCAAGAGAGGGGTAAAATACCTGACATCTCCTCTTGCCACCCAGTTTCTACAGGCAAGCAGGCGTGGAATGGAGGACCTGGGCCCTTACTCTAGGAAATGAGGATTTGACAACTCAAATTCTTTTCTCCTCTCAATACTGTAACGTTCTGGATATGTGATTAAACTCTGAGTTATTGAGTCCTGGTGACTCAGTATGTGTATAGTAAAACTAGTTTCCTGCTCCTGGAACTTTTTTAAAATCAGTATTCATTTCAGCTTGTGCTGACAGCTGAAACTGTAAGAAATATTAAACTAATATTTTTATTTTCAGAGTGTGCTTTGAACAGAGCAGCCTTAATTTAAGAGTTATTTTAGCAGGTCATTTCCCAAAAATAACTAAATCATTCTTTCCAAAATCCATGTACAAGCTGACTCATAACATGAAATTCCACTCAAGCCATGGCATAGCCACAGTGGATTTAATGCAAAAGTAATTATCTCAATTTACAGGGAGACTCAGTGGAAAAAAACCCAGAAAGAAATCTTTTAGAAGTAGCTAACAATCAGACTAAAAGCAGGGGCAATCTGGAGAAAGGATATTTATGTCTTTAATTCTTGAATAGCTGTAAAAAATTCTGTATCAATGATGGAATTTTCTATTCAATTACATGGGGTGATTTAAATACATAAAAAGGTAATTACAAAACTTCTGTTAGATTTTGCTTAAAGTATAGTCAAAAGAGACTATGATTTAACTGAGACTAGAATTTCAGACATGCTTTAACATGTTTTCAGTGTTGATCCCTAGAGATTCATTCTATACAGATCAGGTTTTTAGAGATTAGGTGCCTGAAACAAGAGAGGTTACAATATGAAATGTATTAAAAAACCTGGAATTAATTTTACAACTTTTGCTAAGAGAATTGATAAGACACAGCACAACTGGCCCAACACCAGTAGATCTGCTTGTAATTACTACTTTCTATTACAATAGCTTCCTGTCTACTACCATATGGGTAACCATTGACTCACAACAGTAGAAATGTCACTCTGACTCAATACTACTAAATGCCATTTCCAGAAAAGGAACTACAAGCATTGAAGTGGCCAACAAAATGGAGAAATTACGTAGTTTGGTATCTGCTTTATGCAGTTTGAGACAATTTTTATCAATTCCTTTAAACACTACAAAATGTAAAGTGTGTAACATGTAAGTTAATTTAAACCTGCTTTGCCATTATCATGTTAAGCAGTTGACAAGGTTCTGATATAATCAGTGGTACAAAGGTCCCAAAGTAAAATCCTAAATAGTCACTACATAAAATATCACTTTAAAATAGAGTTACACTTGGTAAGAATCCTAATTTATCAATAATTATGTATCACTAAAGAATAAGCTGATAAAGGATTTTCTTTCACACATTTCTTGCCTCTCCCTTCCACCACAGTGCTAAGCTCATGTGAGCTGTGCCTGCACTAACAGAACTGCAAGACTCAGTGCAGGAGAAGCAATCAAGGATGGAGTGACAACAAAAGCACCAGATGCCACTGATGCCTCTTCCACACTTCAGTCTCCAGGCATCACAGCAGAACAAGGAACCCTTCTGACTCCAGGGTTTCCTAGTAAAGACACATTTGAAGAGGCACAGCCACTCTCCTAAGAGATAAAAATAAAATGCTGATACATTCTATTGTCAAGTAAGTCTGCAAGATCAGAATTGCACAGTGTTAGGGTATTTTACTCCAGTTATACAGTCTAGATCACATTCAACTGTCCATTTAGCCTAGCACAAATCTCATTTAATTAATCCTCAGGGTAAGTTCCTTTCAAGCAACTACAATTTCTTAAATGAAGGCCCATAATTTAATCTTCTGTCCCTCCATTTATAAAGTGATTTTTACATATCATTGAAAGACAGCACTTGGAAACTAACAGTCCACTGCAAAGACTTCCACTGAGAAAACAAGGTGAAAAAAATACTCCTGTCCCCAAATACAGAAATTGTACAAAAAAAAAAAGAAAAAAGGCCAAATAAAGGTTTGTAACAAATTTTACTTATAGAAAAGCATCATTTTAGCATCATTTCACAATAAAAAAGCAAGATCTGTTGGACATTATAAAGACATGGTGTATCAATTCAGAATGCAACAGGTAAAGCACACCATAATACTCAGTGTAAAAGGTTTGAGACACACTACTGTATTTAGCCAGTTACTCCTGGTGCCTCTTTGTAGATATTTTCTTAATTACAGGATATTTTCTATCTGCTTCATACATGTCAGAAGTACATTTTGGAATATAAAAACATGGAAGTGTTAAAATACACTGAAACATGCCAGAAAAATCAAATCAGGACCAATTTCTCTCTATACACAAACAGCTCTACCTCATATAATAACTATCTGTCCCATCACTGTACTCCCACTTACAAAAAAAGATTAAAAAATGTCTTGATACAGAAAATTTTTCCATCTTCTCACTTCTGCATTCATGCAATTCCATGATCAGGTTTCCTTTTCCAAATACTAAGATGTAAAATTAACAGTTACTTTTCCTGGGGCTTTTCCAACATCTTCAGTGCTAATCTTCCAACCATTAGCAAACTGTGTAAGGGGAAAAAAAACATATAATTTAACAATAACAACAACAATTTCTCAATTCATTTTCAGATACTTCATCCAAGTGATGCATAGGAACAAAAATAATACACAAAATATGATTCACTCCATCTCAGTTTAATTAAGCAAATAAGAAATCACACACAGGAGGTTAAAGAAAAGGATTGTACCTGACACCAGCAATTAGCCCTGCAGGCATGAATTTTCTGGAGTGGTAAAATCTTGTTCCCATGACAGCAGTCAGTGCTCCAGATGTAACTTAAATGAGAGATTGTACAGTCCAGTCGGCAGAGATGCATGTGTGGGAGAAACATAATTAAAACAGAGAGAAGTAGTAGCATCAAGTAAAAAGAGAAACAGGGTTACTGCACTTAACAGACTAAGAGAATCAATAAATTGTGCAAATTTTAAAATGCCTCAGTTTGTAAAGAGTAAGTATTCTATATCAATTTCTAGCAGACAGTGCTCTCCATATGCTTCTGCACATACTTCTCAAATTTGTTTTTCAAAATGTGTTCTTTTTGAGACTGGAAATAATTTATGATACAGTGCTCTAGAACTCACTCCTTCTCCACACAGGCAAATCACTAAACTTGTCCACATAATTCCCTCGCTTCTCAAAAAAGGGAGAGAGCATTTGTCTAACTTGTAGCAATCATGTCTAACATGTAGCATCATGTTTAATTTGTAGTAATGTTCTGAGAATTAACTAAATTGTTTTCAAATTACTTCAAAAGGGAAGCGTGCTAAGCATTACCAAGGTGAGAGTTAATTGTCCCAGACCACTTGCCACAGAGACAGAAGCCAGGTAGTTTCACTGACTCAGTAAGATAGAAAGGACAGTCCCTGAACATGGTATCTCAAATAATTACTGAATGCTAAAAAAATGTAAGAAAAACATACACTGATTAAATCCTTATCCTTAGTAGGCACCTGCTACCCAGTGGTAACAGCTACACACATGTTGTTCCAACTCTTATCCCCTACCATTGCTTCTATGTGATGACTGGTCCTGCAGGATCCAGTTCATCTTCAGTCCTAGCCATGACATCCTTCCTCCCTAACACCAGCCAAAATATTGTCACTGACATCTATTAATCTCACGTAATGAGATATGTAAGAGACTGGGACCATAGTCTAACACACAATAAAACAAAAATATTTCAGTATTAAAATGCTTCAAACTCTAATTAGTAACAGATCTTCAGAATATGCACACCTCACAATGAAATTTTGTTTCAAACGGCAGCAGAACACATCTTCTCCAAAAACTTTAAAGCACGAAGAGGAAAAGACTCCATATGCTACTGAGCTACAGAAATGCATCTGTCTCTCACATTTGGGAAAACACTTAATCTCACACATCTTAAGCTTGCTGTATCAGCAGTTTATTAAGTTATTAAGACTTGACCATGCACAGCTTTTGGCCTGGCCAGTAGCTGTGGAAGTGGACTGCCTGTAAACAAAGCTGAAGTGAGAGAAATGCTGGGCCTTCCCCTTTCACTTCTGACTTTCACATGTCAAAGAGGCAGATGCTCCTGACACTCTTTCACTGCTTGATGCTCTTTCACTGCTTCAGAGAAAAAATGCTGTAGTCAGTGGTGGCTCTTTAAACACTGGCTAAGCAGTAATTCTCCACAGTTACCTTCTCAAATCAGGGGGAAGGGAAGCTCCAATTCTGAGAAGGAAGAAACAGCATTACTGAAGCTTGATTCTCTCTTAAATCTCCCCAGGCATCAACACCTTTGTAACTTCACATATTTGTCATTTATAAAAATAAGCCAATCACAATCTCTGCCATTTTCTGTGATAATAAAATAGTCTGCTAGGGGTATGGTCAGTCTGAAGGGGAAATCCCTCCTCCCAAAATCTTACAGCCTCCTGCAGGATGCTCAAAGTACAAATCAAAGGATCCAGCAAAAAATATCAGAAATCCATTTATTAGCACTTCCCTTGCATTATGATCCTTCAAACACATCAGTATGAGACAGATGCATGTTGGCAGCCACCGGTTCAGTAAAGTTTAGAAAGCACTGAAGTTAGATTTGTAGCATAATCTGCGTTTAACTCTTCTGCAAAGACTTTTAGGTACTCATTTTAAATATATAGGGTAAATATTATCCTTTTCAAATAAAATTTTAAATTACTTACTCAGAGAAACCCAAATGTTATTTGGATTCTGTGAGACCTGATAAGCACCCAGTCCAGCCAAACTCCCAAAGAAAAGGCCAGCAGCTAGTGATGGAACACTACCTGAATAAATGGAAGATAATGCATTTCTTAGAAACTTAAAGATTATCTTGATCAGCAGCTTAACTGTTTTGTACCAAAAATTATAGAAATAATAAAAAAAAAAGGGCATTCATCATTCATTGACATAAAGGAATTAGAGAAGGGGGGTTTTAAGATATTGGGACCATGCTGATCAGCCAAGAAACACTTCAAATAATTCATTGACATAAAGAAGATTAGAGAAGGGGGGTTTTAAGATATTGGGACCATGCTGATCAGCCAAGAAACACTTCAAATACTCTTGCATAAGATATATACAGAGTTAGTATTTAGTTCTGTAAAGCAAAGGCATTAACACATTCATGAAAGAAGAGTGAGAAAAACAAAAGAATTGGTGTTTTCCTTGCACAAACTGAAGCATGTTGCTTCAAAACAGTATTATGAAAATTGCTTGAGAGGCAGTAAAACAGTAGGACTAAATTGTAAGGATTTAAAATCAGAAAAAAGGACAGGTGAGTGGAATTGGGCAGGAGGGCATTCAAAGAATTGCCAAGGAGCAAGGCGTAGTTGAACAAGAGAGGTCATATCTCCTAAGTACACCTGAGATTTGATCCAAAGGTAGCTGCAGACTTTGCAAGAAACGCACCTAAACTTTGAATCAAGTCCTCAGTATAAATGATCATCCCAAACTACCAGAAAATAAAGGATACCACACCTAAATTGGTGATTTATAGAATATATCAAGTAATCAATTAGCATGATCACTGTGAGTGGTGAATGCCCTCCATAAGGCCAATGGAGAATTAAGGACTTAATGCTACTGAAAGTGGTTCTTTATACATTGCATTTCTGAGGTCACCTTCCAAAGACTTGAGATTGAAAAGCTAAGCTGATAAATATCTCCTCTCAATGTTAAAGGAGGACTGCATATTGCTTCCAGAAAGTAATCATTTTTCAATCATCAACAAGGTTGCTTTGTATCCTGCTTTTGGTACAAAAAGCAGGAGACAAAGATGACAGAAAGCACCTGATATACTTGTACATGTGCAAGGAAAAGGTACACACTCTACTAGGTGGCTGCTTTGCACAGAATATGAGTTTAAAACAAATCTGTGGTAGCCACAATGCTTTCCACAAGCCTGGGAGCCAAGAAACATCCATCATTTCCTTGAATTTTGCCTCAAGGCATTGTTTAAGCAGATATGACACATACACTTACAGCACAACCACATCACCTCTGGCTCAAGAAGTTCACAGATCTCAAAACACAGGGACCCAGAGAACTTGCTAAATGAAGACAGAAAAATCAATCAATGAATCAATAAATCACTCCCTACTCACTCACCCTTGGATTGCCATGTTCTCATACTGTTCCAAAGGCACCTACTACTGCCCCCTGTCTGTGTGGGTAGATAGATCGGGTTGTAAAAGAACAGATCAGATCAACTTAGTTCTACGCATGAAAGTTCCATTTTCTTTTGGTTTCTCCAAGTTATTAATAAGTATACAATGGCTCCTTTGTATGGTTGGTTTTTTTCCTTCTCTCCAGCAGTTACCATAAGAGTTTCTGTTCCCCTTCAATAATCCTGTGACCTGGATTCCCTTGCCCCAGCATAACCATGTCCTCCCAATTGTGTTCCAGAGGACAAGAAAGACACCCATCATTTCATAATGGCCTTGGAGAAATATAGATGCAATTAGTTACTTAAGTTCTCAGTATTGTCCCTTCTGTCCTAAACTCCATTCACAACCCAAAGGATAAATCCAAGCCAATGGAAAACAGACTGGAATAGGCACTAGCATCTATCTAGTCAAATGCACTGGTAAGAGTCTTACTGTCTTCAGCAATGCCCCTTCCTATCATAAAAACCAAGATGGCTTAGGGATTTTCAAAGCTGAAAGAGACAGTGTTGCAGCAGGAATGAATCCACAGTTCTGTCTGGAGGAGGGCGAACTCAGAAAAAGGACAGGAAATGAAAGCAGTAGGTCAGAGGGTACACTTATGATGCAGAGCCCAGAAGAGAAACAAGTTTAAGGACTGATTTGTGCTGTTCAGCTCCACTTGGAGAAAAGATAGTTCTGAAAGCTCTCTGCAGCTTGCAGTATACTGTTATCATCACAGATTAAAATGGCAATAAATCTCTTAAGGAGGAAAAGTGGTGATTTATGTCATTTGAAGATACAGAACACTTACAGAATGCTTGTATTTTAAAGAGCAAAGAAAAAGCCTTTCTGAAGCAAACTTATGACAGTTCACCCAAAGAGCACGGGCAGATATCAGCATGCACCAGAAAGCAGATTATGGCCTTATCAGCCCAAAGCACCAGCTCAACTCAAAATCCAGCACACCCCACCAGCAGCAAGTTATCAGCACATGGCACAAACCGATAAAATTTACATACGGGTCAACTTCGAGATAAGAGGCTTTCGTAAAAAGCTGCCCAGCTCACACCAAGTTATTGGGGAGAGGGAGGAGGGGGTGTGGGGGAAGAGGGAGGGAGATGGAAGCACCTTTCGGCACCCTACCTGCTTTTGCATAGCCAATGATCCCTCCTGATGCCACCAGGGCGGCGTAGCCAAAGCCGAGCCAGTCCACTGCCATGCCGAAAACTGGAAGAGAAAATTGGGGTGAAGATCAGCACCTCTTAACCTTTTTCAAGGGAGGAAAAATTTAAAAAGTAAAGCATTTGCTATGGCAAGCTTTTCCACAAGCAAGACCTGCCTAAAGCCTAGGCCCTTGGCTTTAGAAGAGATGAGGAGATGAAGCCGGCTTTGTGGGGAAGGCAGCCCCGGGGGCACAGGGACAGCGCCGGGTCCCACCTGCGCGGCCGCCCCGCTCCGCAGCAACCGGGGCGGAGCAGGCGGCGGAAGGGGAGGCGAGGCAGCCACGCACCGCCCAAAGCTTCCCTTTTCCGGCTGTTCTGGGGAAGGAAAGAGATGCTCCAAGCACGAAACCCAAGCAAAAACAAACCCGAGAGGCAGGGCAGGGTGAGGCTCGCAGCCAGGGGTTGCGGAGAAGGAGGCGTGGGTGTCTTTCCACCTACCTGCAGAGCTCCCGGGATTCCCCCGGCACGGCGGGAGGCGGCTGTCGGGATGCCCGAGCGAGCCCTGGTGCCTGCAAATGACTCAGTAACAAACCAGGTTTTGTGCTCATGTTCAGTGAGGGGCAAAGCTCCTGCGGAACTGCAGTCGTGTGCACCTAATCCACCCCGGTCCTCATCCAGAAGTGAGGTTACTGTGAGCATTTGGGCTTGGGTTTTGGTGTAGCACGAGCTACAACGCTGGGCAGTCTACAGGCTGCTTCCAGCTTTGATCAGTAATTTCAGTGTAGCTCTTGTACGGAACACTGGGACCTCCAAAGTACAAACTACTACACCAGAAAAAGCAGTCTTCTCCTGTAAAAGTTATTCAACAGTGGGAGATAGAAACAGCTTGTAAAGAAAAGTTGGACATTTTTTTTTTAGCCTGGAAAAATGTATATAACTGCTTATATAAATGTTTATAACTGCCCACTAAGCTGAACTCTTTTTTTCTGAGTGCTGAAATGGATTTTCTTCATATAAATAGTCCTCCATGATATTACTCCAATTGCCCATGCACTTCCTTCTCATGGATGTTTCACCATATAGAAAGAAAATACTCCTGTAGCCAGATCCCTAAACTGAAGGGGTTCGAGTCCTCTTCATAACAGAAGGCATCAAACATGAGAGGCCTGTACTTTCTGCAAAATGCAGTTTTCTGTAGCTGTTTTCAGATTTTGCCATCTTTATGAATTAGCATAATGGTCAGAAAGTGGGGAGCACTTTAATTCCTTTGTTGGCCTCAGTGGTTTCTCAGTAGGAATCTCCTCCCTCAGTGCAAAGTGCCATAACTAACACATATCTAAGCTACAGTGGATGGTATTTCCTTTTTAATTCAAGCTGTGTAATAGCTATGATGTTCAAGCTTCACTGGGCTCTGCTTTGTGATCCAGCATAGGGATTCCCGAAGAAGGGAAGCAGAGAACTGGAAGAAATCCACAGCTGCTGGAGCTGTAGAACTCACCGGGGGCTCAGGTGAGACGCTGCTCCCTGAGCTGTTGTTCCTTGCAGCTATGGCTCCATCTCCTCTCCCAGCGTCATGCACACCCACGCCTTCTGACAAGGACAGCTTTGTCACCGCTGACATTTCCCCTCTGCACTGCTGCCTCCCCCCTACCATTCTGAGCAGTTCCCTGAAAACTAGAATGGAAAACGTGCTGAAAAGGAAGATGTACACAAAGATGCAACCACAACAAATTGCCAAGTACTCATTACTAGTAGAGTATTCACTAAAGGTAAAAAAAAATATGGGTTTTCCCTTAAGGACTGTTCTTCTCTGTCTCCAGTTCACAAATTGTTCTGAGTCTTGTGAGATGCATAATTCTTTGTTACTACACAGGGGGTTGGGATTTTTACAAATGTGTAATACTTACTTCTAAGTCCAAACTTTAGAATCCAAATTCTGTGGAAATTTTGCTTTTTAATCTTAAAGTTACATGCAGACTGGATTTTTTCCCTAGTGCTTCTGCAAACCTGCTTCTGCAATGGTGATGACTGTGTCCATGAGCTCATGTATTTAAAAATACAAACAATAAAAACTGCTTTAGTAGTGGCAGACATTTTGTCAAGGACATAAGATAAGCACTATCAAATAGACATAAGGCTTTACAAGTGAAATCGCTGTACACAATTCCCTTATTTAATCTTATGCCTTTTAATTCTTACATTTACTGTAGAAGCCTTAGGAATTAAAAATCTGGCACCTTTATGGCACCTTTCTGTCAAGTCAACAAACCATTTGAAGTCCTACATTTATTTGCATGTGTTTGTGAACACAAACATTTAGGGTATCATTAAAATTAAAAGCTGTGTAAGCTCAAAATTAATCCCTTTAATGTTGAATTAAACTGAACTTGCATAAATCAACTTTATTGAATATCCAAACAAGGGGCTCTGATCATTTATCTAAGTAAGGAAAACAGTTACAGAAGGAAAATACGGATACCCACTTCCAAGAGAATACTGCTACTGCCACATGAACAATTCTGTAACAGCACTGATGATGCTCAGATGTTACACTGATGATGTTACAGATGCTTTGTTTCAGTGTCAAAAAGCATCGAGCTGAACTGGAATTACATCCTGTTTTATATCTCTAAACTAGCCTGCATTCCTGTCTCCAGATTTGGCTCTATCTTTTTTCCGATTTTCTCTACTTTTTCTCTTGCTACACAAATAAGGAGGAATAGATGAAGTGAATCAGAACAAAGCATAATTCCAATTACTCTTGAAAACAGTAATGACTACTCCAGGAGTGCAGAAAACAACATTAACATGCCTTACACCTTAAAATAAAGGAAACATTTAGTTCACCTCTTTGATCTTATTCAACTTTGTTTTTCCCCACTGTATATTTGAAATAACGCTAAGGATGAAGTCCTGTTCCCATGGACTGACAAGGTCAGGAATTTACTTTTTAAATGCAAACAAAAGAGATGACATTTAATCAGCACGGCAAGAATTTCAGGTATTATATAATTCTTTTTTAACAACATGGCTCAGATCAAGAACTTGAAAAAAACACATTGGGAAGGGGGAAGAAAAGGTAAAACCTTATTGATATAAACTCTTCTGCCTAAAATTATGTATCATATCCTGAACAAATGTTTTAGTGATATGAACCATGGGTACAAAGATTTTTTTAAAAAAATAAATATATTTAAGTATGACCACAGTAAAAAAAGCCAAACATTGTGCTTATAAAGTCCATGTATAAGTCCATGTCAAAAATCAGAAATTACAGTTTTCCATAACTGTAAGAATGGGATGTGATCATCATGTTTTAAGTAATTTTAACATGTTTTTTCTTACAGTAGGAAAATAAATGCAGGACAAAGGCAGACTATACCTTGAGTTAAATGAACAGTAACATTTTTAACACTAAAAAGTGTACACATTTTTAATATGCATTTAAGTGAAACAAAAATGCAACTGAGACAGATGCAGCTATTTTTATTATTTTAGCTGGCTTTTTCAGAGCCAGTTAAAAAGTGTATGGTATTGTGAATAGAAAAATATAAACATTGCATATTATGAATTTATTTTTGCTTTGTTCACTTAGGGAAAGTTCCCAGAATGATCAGTCAGTTTATTAGGGTAAGAACATTAATTACTTTTAAACAATACATTGGATCAGAGGTATATGTCCTGTTAGGGTTTAGATTCTTATAAAAACTAGGGCAACACCAGCATTTACTTTTTATACAGGAGAGAAAATAGCTGCCTTCATGCCGAACTATTCTGTGTCTTTTTCTTTTTCTTCTTTTGCACTGGAGCTTCCAGCTTTTGTTTATCTGGAATAATTTTTCTTTTTCTTTTTGCTATTTTAACCCTTTTAGTAGTCCAAAAATCTTTGTTTATCCTGGCTATTGATGATTTTTCATCTTCTGTTTCTGAAAAAAAAAGCAAGGAATTATTCACACTGACTTTTATGTCCAATCTTTGTAGTCTAAATGGCACAGAGACTTATTTGTATCTCATTTTTTAAAAAGGGTTATAAATAGCTTTTTATTTTATAGTGGAAAGTGCCATTTATGCTAGTTTTGCCTGTGAAATTAAAACACATAAAGATCAAGTATGTAAATAGATCACAGTGCAGGAAAACAACAGCAGAAAACCCAAACAAATCTGAGCTAGACTTCTTAAGTTTGCCCTGCTACAGTGGCCTCATGCCTAATTTTGCTTATAGGAAAACAACACAAGCAGTACAATCAACTGTTTGTTTTCTTATCTGTCTCAAAAGCTTTGAAGTGGCCTCCTCAGTATGTTATTCCAGTAAACAGAAAGAGAACTTTAATAAAAGTGATAAGAGGCTTATGTTTTCCAACAAACATATGGCCTTGAGACACTATCAGATTGGTAAGTGTATCTGTATCGCTTGCCAGCATCATATCCCCACTTCTTCAAAATACCAGAACATTTCCCAATGGATACAGGAGAAGCCTCCCACTTGGTGTATTCCATTTCACAATCACATTAACAATTCAAAATACAAAGTTCTATTACCTTGAGATGGTGTTGCAGTTTTATCAGAGTTTTCTTTCTTTTCTGAAGCTTGGTCAAGCCATACTGCAAGACACGTCAGCCTAGCTTTGGTATTGACTTCACACAGTAAAGATGGCCCATCTCTAATCTGAAGAAAACATAAAAGAAGATCACTTAAACCTTATTTTTTTCTGGTTAAATTTAATTAAGTATTTGGAGTGAGAAAGCACCTTACTGCCCACTTTCATTGTTAGGCAATTGTATCACTCAGCTTTTGGAATACAAATATTCTATTACAGATATCAGGGGATAAAGTATCACAGACACATGGGCAGTGTTAACAGCATCAACCCACTGGAAACTACTGTATTAGGATATTCTACCCCTCACAGCTGCACAGAGCAGCCCACACAGTTATGCAAAACTTTGCCTGCAGGGAAAGGAATTTGGTCGAAATAAATACAATGTTACACAGAAAGGTAAAGATCACTCTGTCAGTTCTGTACAAGGGGAACAGAAATGTAAGGTGAACAGGAAAGAGGGAGATCACTCCTGCACTAACAAGTATAAAAATAATCAGAGTGGGTGAAATTATAAACAGGCAAATTCAGATTTGAAGCATATAGATGTTGAGAAATAATTATTTGAACTATCCAAGATACTTATCATAAAATATAGTAGATCCTTTGTAACTGGGCAATAAATTGTAAAAATCTATTTCTGGTTTTAAGAGCAAACAATAAACACAATAAACTTTAAAGGTAAGACATGATTCCTTGTTGGACTGTGTTACTCAGAACTGTTTGAAAATACATGAAATACAAGTACTCAGTACATTTATGTATTTGAATTTTTCCAAAGGATAAGTTCCTCCCCTGACATGAACAACCACCTTCCCTTGCCCAAACCACAGACTTTGTGCTTTCAGAAGAGTAGCAATAGTCATCAACATTACAGAAATTCACAGCAGTCCTTAACAAATTACATAGTCATAACATACATAACTGATTAGATAGTCATAAGCCTGGCTAGGTCTGATGGGAAGCACGACTTTACAAAAAGTGGAGATGAAATATCATAATATCATCAGATTTTATAGTTTGTTAAAAAAAAAGGTACAAAGATGAAAAAAAATATGAGTGCATAAATATATGTGCATAGACATACATCTCTACTGAACATAACATGGAAGAAGATCAAGACATCCATATTTCACATGAAATTTCCTCAATGATTTAAAACAAACTCTTACAACAGGACTGTCTGCAATTCTGGTTCTCTGTTGATTTTCTTAAATGTAACAAGCAGTGTAATACACCAACCTTATCAAGATCCAGATTCCACATTTTAATGTAACCGTCACTGGATGCAGTAACAATGACATGCTGTCCTTCTCTTTCAAAACTATAAATATCTTTTATTCTGTGAAAAGGAATACATTTTTATCTTATAGTATCGCAGTTCACTTCAGACAAGTAAGCTGAGATAAATTAAAGATGAATAGGCAACAGTCTAAAAAATCAGTATGAACAAAAAACCCCCAAGTGACAGGCAGGAACTTGGATCTGCTTTGAGTGCTGTCATTTATATTAGGACCATTTGCTTTTGCTAGGCTTATTAGGATTCAATTCAGAACTCTTTAATACTGTAAAGAATACACTATTAGACACATCAGTAACATTACTGCTAATGCTTTTGTATTTTGATGAATTCAAAGCAACATTTGGACAAATATTTGGTATTCAAAAACAGAATATGTAATTACACTCCTATTGTTTGAACTGAATAAAACTGGTTTGTTTTGAAGCATTCTAAATAGTCAGATTCAGTAAAGACTGGTTAAACACAAACACACACACACTCTCACAAATTTAGCAATATTCTTAATTCTGTACCCTACTGTTTTTGTAACATGCATGGACAGCACAGTATTTGTGCCCATACAAAAAGCAAACAAGTCTGTTTGGAATTTAGCACATAAATAAATTAATTTTCTATACTAAAACAAAAGCAAAATATGCTGAACATTACAAGCTGCAGAACTTTAGAGAGGACTCAGCATTGCCATAAATATTTAAATAGTCAACAAATATAGAATACCTGTTTTCATGAGCTTTAAATTCACACAGGCATTTTTGAGAGTCACAGCTGTAGAACCTAATCATTTCATCACCTCCCGCTATGGCAAGGACAGAATCCTTGGAATGAAGAAAGAGAAATGCAAATGTGATTAATTTCATGTGTTTCAAACCAGTTAATTTTCCAACACCTCTCATTTTTGTACTTACTGTAATAAATCTAAGTGAAGAAATCCTCTTCTCTGTTGTAATGGTGCCAGTGATTGAAGCTGTGTCAAGTCTGTAGATATCCACTTTGTTTGTTATCACGGTCACATACTTCTCTCCATCAGGGGACCATTTAATTATGTGTGCATCTGTACACAATGAAACAGAGAATCTAAAGGTAAGAATCTTTAGAAGCTGCTAGACACTGTTTTCTACCTAGACCTAAGAAAATATTCAGTGAAAAATCAAATAAGCGAGAATAAACAGCTATGCTCTTAAATGTTTATTTATGATTATCAGAATCATGTAAAGAAAAACAAACTGAAACACATTAATTTAAATGCTCTGACCTCAAATTTAAAGGAAAGAATTTACTTTAGTGGTACGATGTTTTCCTTTTGCTAAATGATTACTATTAAGGACATGAGCTTACGTATGCTTGCCTGCATGTGTAAAAATAACATTGTGAAAGTTTGCAATTAACTGACTTGATTAATTCAGTCAACTTTTCTTTACGTGAAAAATAAAACTATCAAATTGCACTTAATTAGTGGATTTAGATTGATAAACTCACTTTGCTTCAGGTTTTTGATGAAGGCTGATCGTCCTTCAACAAGATTCCAAGTTCTGAAACACAACAAGAGGTAATGTGCATTCTGGTTAAAAACAGCACAGCGAAACTGAAATACAATCTGCTGTCATGAGGCACCCAAAGGAAGCTTTTAAGCCTCTCAATGCATTTTTCTGCCTTCTTAATGCAGAAGAAAATGATGAGTTCATATATTGCTTGCACACTATAGTGTTGAACTTGTGTTATTTATTTTCTAAACCACTGTTTGCATTACTGAGCCCAAAAGGAGGCCAATAGAAATTTGTGCTATTAAAATAGCATTTTACATCTCTAAAACAGGTATCTACAGCAACATGGAAACACTTCAAGTGAAAAATCACACTAAACACAACCTGCACTTGTCAAAAATTTAAGCAAATTGTGTTCCAAAATGCAAACATATTTATACATATGCAAGTGATTCATGAAGAGTCAGAGCTCACAAAAAGGTATGAACAGCTGGCACTTAGAACTTCAAAAGACAAAAAAACCAATGGATCTTTGAACCAGTTGATAAAAAATATGTTTTATCAGTGTTGCATGGCCTAGTCCCAACATGGAATTGTTGCTTGTGATTCTCAGCATTCCTTCATCAGTTTTGACTCACCTTAATGTTTTATCAGTTCCAACTGACAAAGCTAATTTCCCAGAAGGATGAATAGAAAGAGATGTCACGTGTCCCCTGGTGAAAACAAAACATTAGTCACATGTATTATTTACAAGAAACGTTTACATTACAATGTACGTGAATATGAAGATTTAAGAAACTTACTTATGTGCCTTAATGGATTTCAGACATTCCCATCTCTTTGTGTTCCAAACACAAATGAGTCCATCTTCAGCCCCACTCAGTAGATGTGTAGTCCCATAGAACTCCAAACAAGTTACCGTGCCTAGAAATACAATCAAAAATGTTGTACACACCAAACAGTTATTACACAAATTAACAGAGAATGTACAACTTAACAGAAAAGCTTCTTCCACCAAGGCATGCCAGCTACTACCCTAACCTTTGGAAAATCTATTTTCCTAAGTATTTCTCCAAAAAGCCCTCACACTTTCTTGCTATATTCAATAGTCTGATATGTTCTGTGAGGCACCCGTTACCCACACATGTCTGCACTCCATCTGGTCTGTTCTCTGTCACAGCAGTACTCAAACACCATGGCAGAGATGGCAGAGCTTCTATCAGGGATAGGAATGCTCCCATGTCAAAGCCCTGCTCCTGACACACAGCTGAATTTACTGCACGTGCTGCTTCCCCACAATCACCAGATGTATCATACATAAGTTAAATGCATCTACCATGCTCAGCCTAGCTCCTGGATCTTTTTGGTTAATCAATACTGAGATACAAATGACCCAAACAGATTTATTTGGACAGCCGTTAACAGATGACTGTACCAATGATAGAGACAAAGGGTGCACCCTGAGCTAGTTTACAGATGACACCAAACTCTGTGAGTGGTGAGGGATGGGATGCCATCCAAAGGGACATGAACAGTGGGCCATGGGAACATCAAAGTTCCACAAAGCCCAGGGCAAGCTGGTATCAGCACAGGCTGGGAGATGGACAGATTGAGGGCAGCTCTGCTGAAAGGGACTTAGGCTTGCTGAGGGATGAGAGGCTGGACATGATGTAGAAATGTGCGCTTCCAGCCCAGAAAGCCAAATGTGTCCTGGGCTACATCAAAGGCAGCGTGGGCAGCAGGTTGAAGAAGGGGATTCTGCCCCTTTGTTCTTCTCTTCTGAGACCCCACCTGGAACACTGTATCCAGCTCCAACAGGTCCCCAGCATAAGAATTATGTGGACCTGTTGAAGCAAGTCCAAAGGCCATGAAGAAGACCAGAGAGATGGAACACCTCTCCTGTGAGGAAAGGCTGAAAGAATTGGAATTGTTCAGATGGGAAGAGGCTGCAGGGAGATGTTATTGTGGCCTTGCAGTACTCGAAGGGGGCTTAGAAGAAAGATAGGGACAAACCTTTTAGCAGGGCCTGTTGTGATAAGACAAGGTAATGGTTTTAGACTGTTAGACTAAATAGAGTCAATTTGGATGTAAGGAAGAAGTGTTTTTACAAGGACAGCAGTGATACACTGGAACAGCTGCCCAGACATGTGGTTGATACCCTGTCCTTGGAAACATTCAAGGCCAAATTGGATGGGACTCTGCGTAACCTGATCTGGTTGAAGATGCCCCTGCTCACTGCAGTGGGGTTGGACTAGAGGACATGTAAAAGATCCTCTCCAACCCAAGCTGTTCTGTGACTCTATCATGTACTTTGCAGTTGTAATTTAGGTAGCACATACAGTGGGAAATATACCAGGTTAACTCCTCTGGCAGCAGCAGCTTGCTCTCACACACAAACTCTCTTTTGTGTGGCTCATGTACACTTGTGACCAGGAAAGACAGTAGCTGGGAGTAGGCATGGTCTAGGTAAACCGTCCTGATAGAAGAAAAATGGCACATAAGCCATTTGTGGCTCATAACTTCTTGACCAGTCAAAACTATAAATAATTTAAAGCAGCAGCAGCATTTGGGAGCTAATACCAGAATAATTGTTTTTACCTTCTATGCTCAAAAGCCTACCTTGTTTGTATGATCACACCATCATGGCTGCAACACCATCACTACTACAGTCTTATTAGAAAAAGAAAAATCAGTTTTCTTCTTCTAGCAAGGAACAATTTTTCAGCCACAATTTTTTATCATTAAGGTTTTTTTACAAAGAAATGCTCCCTTACCATTGTGCTGTAGCAGCGCCCCATGCTCAATCTTCTTTTTCATGTCATAGATTTGGATTGTCTCATCTCTGCTTCCAGTGACCACATATCTGTTATTCACTGCTACTGCTGACAATGAGGCGGTGTGGGCATGATGTGTAAAATCAGGGACGACTGTCCACGACTGTAAATGAAATGCAAAACAAGGTCTTTCTCCAGCTTACCACAACAGAAAGCTTCCACTTCATTGTCTTGTAATTTTATTTTTTAAAAGCAAAAGCTGAAAAAGTGTATGTGTAAAAATCAGAATCACAGAATCAAATAGGTTGGAAAAGACCTCTGGGATCATCATGTCCAACCCATTACCTTGTCAACCAGAGCATGGCACTGAGTGGCACCTCCAGGCTTTCTTTAAACACCTCGATGCATGGTGACTCCACCACCTCCCTGGACAGTGCATTCCAGCGTCTAATCACCCTTTCTATGAAGAAATTCTTCCTAATGTCCAACCTAAACATCCGCTGACACAGTGTAAGGGCGTGTCCTCTTGCCCTGTCACTGGCTACCTCAGAGAAGAGGCCAACCCTCACCTGGCTACAGCCTCCTTTCTACGCAGTTGTAGAGAATGATAAGGTTCCCCCTGAGCCTTCTTTTCTCCAGACTAAACAACCCCAGCTCCCTCAGTCACTCCTCATTGGACTTGTACTCCAGACCCTTCAGCAGCTCCACTGCCTTTCTCTGGACTTGCTCCAGCATCTCAATGTCTTTTCTGAATTGAGGGGCCCAGAACTGAACACAGCACTCGAGGTGTGGCCGCACCTCGAGTACAGGAGGAGGAATTATACTTAGCTGTAAGCATAATGGGATCTTACTGAGTTAATGTGCTGTTAGGAGATTAGTCCAAAGGATTTAAGCGTGCAAACCGCCCCTTGGAATCAGTGCTGTGCTTAGACGAAGCTGTCTCTGCACAGAGATAAATCCCAAGAGCAAGAGAGGCGGATTCTCTCGTTTTCCATCACGGCAGGCTGGAGACACGCCTTCCACCTGCCCCCAGCCCACGTCCCATCCATCCTGCGCACCGCGTCGGGAGGAGCGACCCCGCACCGCGGTCCGCCGCACGCACGTGGCTGCCCGGACACTCCGCCGCTCCCGGGCGCCCTTCGGCCAGCGAGGGGGCCGAGTCTGACGGCAGAGGCCGCGGAGAGGCCGCCCCGCCCCCGCAACGCGCTTTAAGAGCCCCGGCGGCGCCCGGAACCGCGGCTGCGGACGGACGAGACGGTGAGTGCGGAGGGGCGCGTTTCCAGAGGGGCGAGCGGGGCATTTCCCCCACACACGTCCCTGGAGGCGTTCGAGCCCGGGCTGGATGGGGCTCCGAACGCGCTGGTCTCGTGGAAGATGTCCCTGCCCATGGCAGGGGGTTGGAACGAGATGGCCTCCAAGGTCCCTTCCAACCCAGACCGTTCTGTGCTTCTTCCCTGCCCTCCGTCCCCCCCGCTCCCGTTACCTGGCCGGGCCGCGTGGCGAACCCCAGCAGCACCTGCTCGTAGCACCCCGCCACCAGCTCCATCCGCCACCGCACGGCGCCGCCCCGGGGCTCCCGCCGGCTCTTCCGCTGCCCGCCCGTCCGCCGCGCTGCCTGCGCCGCTCCGCGCTGGCTCCGCGCGTGGCGTCCTGCAGCGCTCGCTCCCTGCGGGTGAGGAGAATCCCGTGGGAGCCGCCGCGGAGCGGGAAGCGCCGGAGGTAGCGGCGAGGGGTCAGGCTGCGCGCGGGGCAGCCCGCGCAGGGGGGGCCTCGCGGGGCGGAAGCGGCGCTGGCGGTGATGGCGGCGGGGAGGACGAGAGGCGTTAGTGCCGGGATCGCGAGGGGGGGAGGGGGAGCGGCGGTCGGGATCGGGGGCTGCTAGCGGTGAAAAGGAGCGCGAACCGATCTATTGGGAAGTAGGCGCGGTGGGATGGGCTGGGATGTTCGGCCCTTTCCCCGCCGCGGGTCCCCCGCCTCCCTCAGGGCGCGCGGGGCGAGGAGGCCCCGGCGGCGCTTGTGCCGAGGCAGCAGAGAACCAGCCCCTCCCTAACCCCAGGCCCCGGCGGCTTTTATTGCTATTTCGTCGGGTCATTTTATATTTTTTCATTACTTAATTTCTTATCGCGTAGTACAATAAGCAGGAAGCGCGGCCCCGGCGCCAGTGCGGCCGCTTGCGGAGGGCCGCGGCCGGGCGGGGCGCACTTGTGGTCGGGCTCTTCCCGTCGTGCCGAGTGGCTCGGTTAGAGAAATGCGTCACGGCTCGGGCCTGGGCTCGGCCGGGGTCACTGCGCCGGCCCCAAGAGCTCTGGGAGGCTCCCTCATCCCCGTGCCCTGCCCCAGCGCCTCGTGTGAGCGAAATTAGTGCCAGAGGAAGGGGAGGGGGGATTGCCCGCTGCCTGCGTCAGCGGTGTTTGCGCCGGCGATTCAGGCCGTGAACAGCTTCGCCCACCTTTTTGCCCGTATGGCCGCAGTAATGCAAGAAAGTGGACTAAAATAAAAAACTGCTGTGGTGTGTGTGTAATCCAGTTAAAGATGTGTTTGAATTCTGGAGGTTGAAGCTGCCCCACTAATTAAATGAAAGCTTGTGACTGTAGATATAGTTAAAACAAATGTAAGAAAATGTATTATATTAGTACATGCTGTTTTAACTGCTTTTAAAATGTTCTTGTTTTCTAGTGAAAAGGTGAACATTGGACAGGGAGGCATAAAAGCAGTTTTGTGTAAAAGTTGGTGGTAACCTACCAAGAAGCAGTTGTATCACTTCCCTCCCGATAGCCTCTCACAACAAGAGCGCTCTGTCGTGTGTGCCATCTTCCATTAGGTCTGCACAAGTTAAAAGTGGTAAGTTTAAAAAAAGTTACTGCGCAGTTGTGAATTGAAAAATCAGTATTACAGTGCTGAGAACATGGAGGAACTCATGGTTATTTTTATTGAAAACTAATGTTACAGGAACATTGTTATGTGGATATTTGCATTAATAATGGTCACCCTTAACAGGAAGACTTTGCTGCTGATATGAACACAATTACTTTCGGTTAGCATTTGCTTAGTGTAGCATACACAAACCTTGCTAGTATTTTAGGCCTGTTTCTACTTGACTTTTCTTGGCTTCACAGTGGCTGTGGGGATGAAGTCTGTAGTCGTTCTGAATAGCACCATGGGTGGATGCTCTAATTATGGTTTATGGCTCTCCTGTGTCAAATTAGTCTGATCCATTTTCAGAAGTAGTGCTCTGAACTGCTCCACTCTGCAGGCAAGCCTTGAAGGCATTGTAGATGCTCTGTGTTTATTGCATTATGTGGTGTGGATTTAATCAGCCAAGATGTAAAACATTACATAAATTCTTGTGTGGAAATGTGAACTAGAACTGTGGCCGTCAAGTATCTGCACAGGAGTTACACCAGATGTAAAAAATCGGTAGGGGTGAAGAACGCCTGTGTGTGAAAGTAAATGCGGAGTATTTTGTAAATGAAATTGGTTTTTGCACTGATATATATTTGTTGGATGACTAGGGCAAAAAGCCTATAAAAAGCAATATTGGGATCAACAAAGATATATAACTCTTCAGGAAAATGTGGCCACTGGTTTAGTGATGGCAGTAAAATGTTACTTTCTGGTTTTGGTTTTGATGGTAATGAGTGAAGTGTGTATGTGGAGAAAGTGAGAGGGAGGAGAAAAGGTGCGGCGAAAGATCACATTTGCTTGTGCTGTGCCCTCATCCTGCTTGTATTTCTCATATCCTTTAGCACATAGGAAGTACCACTGCTTGTTTTCAGCTGCGTAGTTTGTGGTACAAGTAAATTTAAATTTGGCTAAAAGGGGAAGAAACCAGGGAGGTTGTACAAAACGTGATGAAACCTCTGTCTTTTGCCTTGCTTTTAACTATTTTAGAATCTTCTGGATGATTGGGTTATTATATGTAGGTATTTCAGAATTAAAGGTGAGGTATAGGGGACTTAAAAGATCTCTAGAATTTTCTAGTGGTTTAGACAGTGGGAAAACTTTGTGGTTTGTTACAGTTTAGAACAGTGAATATTAGATCTAATGATAATCCTGTTGGCCATACATCCTTTTTATCTCCGATGTTTTAGCAGTGACAAGTCAGAACTTAATTTTTGAAGTTCTGAATTAATAACATTAAAGCATATGGTGGGTTGAGCATATTTGAAAGGAATTAATATTGAGGATAAAATCCTTCATCTTCTTTTTCTCCCCCCACATTTTTTTCAGCTGAAGGAGTGTAATAAATTGAACCTGTGCAGTTTTACTGTTCGAGAAAGACAGAAGACAGTTTGAACCATGGCAAGCCAGGTAAGATCATTTAGTCAGAAATACAGGCATGCAGTGCCTAAATGGATTCCACAACCATACTCAGAATTCCTAATAAATGTAAAGCTGATATAGCTAGCTTGCTCTGAGTTGGATGTTCTTTTTGTCCTAAGATTTCTTCCGGCAGTGTGGTAATTGGTGGCTGTTCTCAGGACACTTAATTGTGTCGACTCAAGCAGGTTGGGGGGCATTACATTAAGCTTTGCAGTTTGCATTATTTGAGCGCAAGTTCTTCTGAAGGATCTTGTGCATAACACTTTCTGTATAAGATACATGTGGAGATGTTATAGAGGAAGAGCATTAAAGCCTGCGTAAGTAAATGCTATGGAACATTCTTATTTTTGGAAGTCCTTGTTCTTCAGAATCTTCACTGAGGGAGGCAACCGGTGTTAACAAGGCTGTTTCCCCTCCTCTTTTGTGTAGTTGCCCCACTCACTTCCTTTTTGAGCTGTGGTTTCTGGGGCTTTAGTGGTTTTGTTTTTTTCTTTTTTATTAAATTTTCCTTTTTTTTTTTTTTTTAAATTCCCTAAGAGGCACTTTTTATGCCTCTTTCTTCCTGGCCCTGCATCTGGGTTTGAGTTTTCCCTCAGCCGAGCTAGTGCCTGTTCCTGGTCTGCTTTCTCCTTAAATTCCATTAATCGGCCTCTTGTTGTTCCTGGCCTGGGAGAGTGACTCGCTGCTGGGTAGTGAGGAGAGGCATCTCACAGAAGAATTCCTGGGTGAGGGGAGATAGGGACAGTGGAGATTCCTTCTAGGCAAGAGTGACAATTTCCCTGCCTCTTCATCATTCAGATTGTGCTGCGGCAGGGTTTTTTGCATCCTGGAGCTCAAGCGGAACACAGTCCAGTCCTGAAGCTAATTAACATTTAGGATTGGCCAGCATCAAAAGGCTATCTGGTTTGTCCCTAATTCCCAGAGGAAGCTGTCAATCCATTAGCCAGCTTGACAAGTCAGGGGAATATGGCTGTTCATACAATCCTTTGGCTCTGTTATTTTTGCCAGGCGTTTTCCCCAGAGGCTGCTTTCCCTCATGGGAGGCGGAGGGAGAAATGGGACCCCAGGCTTCTTTCAAGGGCAAGGTGAATATGGGGAAATCACCTGTGGTGATGGGGAGTGGGAGGGAGGAATGTAAATGAGGCTAAATACTATAAAGGTGATTTTTTTCTCCCTACAGGACTTGATGGCAAAAAAAAGAGAATGTCTCCAGGCCTACAGCTGGTGGAGAACACCACAGAAGAAACGGAAGAAAAAGAACAAAATAAAACCAGGAAGAATAGAGTTTGTCCCTAGCAGTACTAACACAACCAGGTAAAGACCTTTAGAAAGGAGCAGCTCTGACCCTTTATCTGTTGAAATTGCTAATGACTAGTGAATGTCATCAGTTATTTAAAAAATACTGAAATGGCACATCTGGTGTCTATACGCTAAGTATTGCTTATGGAGTTGAATTGCCATTTGAATAATGATTTTTTCCTGGCTTGTCTTTTTCATAATTGCTTGAGATGTGGTGTCAA